CTGAAAGAATTATTTAGCACTGTGGTATTTTAACTTCATCTTGCAACTTGTAGCATATTCAAACAAGTTTTTAAGACACTCTTGACATCAAACAATGAAGAGCGCACATTTCCGTCGCACACATTCTACTAACGGCTTCCAGTGTACAAATGTTCTCATTATAAGGGAGTGTAATTTGAGTAAGACTCGATGATAATTGTTCTGGTTGGTCTATCATTAATCGAAAGTTTAGTCAATAAGTTTTAATTGTTTATTTATTCATTATTTATTAAATTGCCAACTATTAATTTCTGCAGGGCCCTCGTGGAGCCCCAGGAACGCCAGGATCTGCTGGTGAGAATGGAGCAGATGTAAGTTGGAAGATCTTCCACTTATTTGTCATTCCTATTTTTATCGTGAACCTCCGTGCAGGATGTGAGGGGGCTGGGCTTTATAATCGTGAGACCACTCACCTCTCACCACTGCAGCTTACAATCTGAGATAAATTGTTTTGGAAAATTCGTAAAAGCATCGCATTTGACTTAAACAAACTTCTTTGGCTTTTCTTTGTTTACGCAACATTCTATGGAGCTAGGGAAGGGCAGGATCCACAACAAGCAAAAGTGTCGAACCCTCATATCTAAGGTTACAAGTTTGATTCCCAAATCTTTGCATTCATGCGGTTTAAGTCTGTGCTCTCACGGTTATTCCTTTGAGATTATTGTTTAGGCCAACCATAAGCTCCCATATTTACAATTGCTTGATCAAATTATCAAGGTTCCACTTTCTCGAAGACAGTGCAGTCGAATTTTATGCCCACATACTCGAACATTCAAGGCATATTTATCAGTTTCCACAACAGTGTCCTTTTGCTTAATTCTACTTTAAGTGTAGGCTCCCCGTTGATTAGTGTTAAGCGCTGTAAATAAAATGTGGCGCTTCAAACATGGCTAAAATCTGGACTTTCTTCTTTGAAGTTTAGCCGCTGCACACCACTTTAATATAAGGTTAATTTTTATTTATTTATTTATTTGTTAAGTTATTTTACTTTCTTATTTTCAAAGGGTCCAACAGGACCTCCTGGACCTCCCGGGCCAATGGGTGAACAAGGTGAACAGGTTGGTAGAAAAATTATATACTTTTTCCAAACAATTCCAGTAACCAGGATTCTGATTTCTCGTCTTTTACTTTCCTGAAATCTTAGAGTCTCTTGATCTGCTAAGAAAAGGTAGCATGACTTGTTGTGACCAGCTACAAAAATGAAACTTATTGAATTTAATGTTGTCACTTTTTATAGTAAACGCAATTGTCATACATCTGAAGAATTTCTTTTTTCGTAATGAGTTGTTGTGGCTACTGCCTCCTATAGGAGGCGAAGCCACATATGTTTACAAGATGAGTGAGTTTAACAATTCCGATCTTGACCCAATTTTGACCCGATGTTTCCCAGTGCTACTTGTTGTTTGTTTCTGAGTATCCTAATATTTCCAAATTCGCGCTCGATACTCAGTTGAGTTCTCTGCTTTATTTATTTCTGGCTTAAAGCCACTAGCGTACTATGTTTTCAGTTCTTGCCGTGACACCACGGAAGAGCAATGGATAAAACACTGACCCCAGTCCATGTAGGAAACAGTAGTCTCAAAAACGGAATTGCAATAAAATAATAAATTCTTTGTGATAAACAGGCGAAATTAAATGAAGCATAGGTAATCATTGTTGGAGTCTAGAGGATAAGGCAACCATAAGGCTTTCGATCTAGCCCATTTGAATTATTATTTTGTTTCTAATGTTATCATCATTCTTATTGTTAATAGTATTATTTGTTGCTATGTAATTATTGTTGAATTTCAATTAGACATTGTATTCTTGAATCATCTTTCTCTTGTGTACCCTAAACAGGGTACTCATAAATATGTGAGATGCGACAGGTTTTCTGTTTTGCATGTGAGACAAATATTCTGAACACTACCTACCGTCATTATACAACCTCTAGTTCTTTTCATGCTATAAAAATTTTGCTATACCAGTAACCACATGCAGTCTTTGACGGTCTGTTTTTTTACTTTTGTAGGGATCTCCTGGGGATAGTGGCGAACCTGGGCCTGATGGTGATGTTGGGCCAATTGTAAGTCTGAATCTTGTTTTGAATTTAGAGGAATAAAAAATCAAACAGTCTTCAATTGAATTGCAAAAGTAATCGAGGCTTGCAAAGGCTTTGCGCGCCGGTCACTCGGCTGAGTTTTTCACACACCTCAGGCCTTTTGTTCGTTTTCGCTATGACCCCTTCTAGTCGGCTCTCTAGTGATATTTTCCTTTTTTCCGGTAGGTCATTTGTCTTGGTTTAATAATACTCTGTTTTTACTGTATGGTTTATTTTTAGATGCCACGCAGGTGAATAACGCGCAGTGATTGGCTAGTTCGGAAGTGGTTAGAGAGTACTTTTTACCTCCGAACAGTCGAAAAGACGAAATTGCCTGTCAAGAGTTAAATTTCGAACCATTTTTCGGTATTCTGATAGAAAAAAAATTTTTTTGCTTTGGTTCGCTATGTACTAAACATTCATTCACCTCAGTGTCGGTGAAAGTGGTGGATATGTGCACTGTGTCTTATTCTGTGAAGCCAGTCGCCCAAAATATGGCGTAACTTTAAAAAAGTATACTGTCCCAAATGTGATTGACATGCACCTTTGGCCTCGAATATCAATACATCTTCTAGCAGGCGAGTGACAAGAGTATGAAAACATGTCAGCTGGAGATGAAGTAATCTCACGAGATCTTAATTAAAAAAGAAATGACGAGCGGTTTCAAGGATAAATTGGCTATTAAATCAGAAACAAACACAATAGCTAATGTTGCCTTCTCTTGGTATAGGGACCCCCTGGATCTCCTGGACAGCCGGGAACCGCTGGTTCCATCGGAAGACCTGTAAGTTAACATTTATTTGTTAGAAGACACAAACTGGCGTAATACGCATAACAAGCGCCCGCGAGCTTTAGGTCGCCCACACGCAGCGTGCACGATTATCGCGCGTGAAAGAAAGAGACAGAATGTTTAGATAGAGAGTCACATTTTGATGTTTTTTGTGCGCAAGTTGATTATTGCGCTATGCCTTTGTGATGTTGATTTTTTAGCCATTTATTTTTCGAAGATTTTTTTTCTTATAACCAATGGTGAACATTTTGCTCATAACGAGCTGAGGCTCTCTGTATTGTACATATGTGTGCACCAAGAGGTGCTTAGATCCTTCATGCATACGTGGAATTTTTTCTACTCGTTTTTACTTGCTATTTGTCATAAATAGGGTTCCTCTGGACCACCCGGAGAAGGTGGATCTCCAGGACCTATCGGACTTCTCGTAAGTAATTCATTACTTGCTTAAGAAGGGGCGTGTTTAGGCTGCCTTGTTCCCTTGTCCCATGTTTTGACGCATGATTGAGAACTGCTCTGATTGATTTGTACTCACTTGTTAGGGACCGGAGGGACCACCAGGTCCAGATGGCGAGAGAGGACTGGACGGCCCAAAGGTATGGTTGTAGTCAATGTTTGGCAGCTATTTAAAGAAAAAAACTTAGGCTGATAGTCGTAGTCTGTTCTTAAACCCAACATACATGCAACAAACGTGCTAACTCATACATTGTTAAAGAACTCAGTTTTAATGCAGTTTTTTAAATGAAGCAGAGCAACTGTAATGTTGTACATCTGCACGTGAAAATTGAAATTCAACGCACAAACAGATTCCATTCAAGCGGCAATTTTTGTGTGACCTACTCACTTAGGTGTTAATCACCCAAGCTAATTAATTTAGGAACTCGCTTAGTGTAGAAGACACAGTTGACGTAAGACAAAAGGGAGCAAAAATACAAAAAACGAGGAAAGCAAGGAAAACTCAAGGTTAATGAGGCGGTGCTCCATTGGGACGTATCATGTGTCTCTGTCGTAATTTATTTGTTGTCTTTCCTTCTTAGGGTGATCCGGGTGAGCCTGGTGCCGACGGCAAGCAAGGTTTAGCTGGTCAATCTGTGAGTCTTCCTACCAGCAGTTATCATTTTCATTCAAAGCGTTTCTTTCCATAGTTTTTATTAATGTGTAAGGTCATTCTTAAGAGATCAAGCTGTTCTTGCTGGATTGTCTCCTATTTTTCATAGCATGCCACGGAATCAGGAACAAACTTTCCTCCGATTCCTGGAGGGATACTTGTCCAGCGTAAATAACCATCATCTCTCT